CCCCAAAACCCCAAAACCCCAAAACCCCAAAACCCCTAGATTATAACCAAGATTGAAATAAATACTTTAAAATCATGGACAAGCTATTCAACTCTATGTTCAAGATGTTTGATCCAAGCACAGATCCCAGGCGGAGGAAAAAGAAAAAGGATAAAGAGAAAGAGGATGAAAAGCAAAGCAGACAGGGTTTCAATGCCCCAAAAGAGAAGCTGGCTAGGTCTGGAACCAAAGAGATAAGTATGATTTGAACTTTTATTTCTACACCTAGATCCTAAATTTATCTTCCCATAGAGGTACCAGTTGAGGAGGAGAAATAAAGAAGAAGTCCATGACTTCAATTTTTGTAAAGCTCACAAAGACAAATGAGTGTATTATTGTAAAGAGGAAGGAATTGGGCTGTGTAACAAATGTAAGCAAGAGACCCATCACTCAACTACACATCACTTACATCTTGTCAGTGAGCTTTCCCAGTGGATCTTGGACCAATTCATCTCCAAAATAGACGAGACCGAAGATATGCGTAGTGCTTTAAGAGAAAGACAGGAAAAGCTAGTGGTTCCAGAAAGATCTTTCCTCTTCGGCCTTGAAATGATAAATCATGTCTTTGATACAGTAATCAAAGAAATTGAGAACGAGAAGAAGAAAGTCATGGATGACTTCAAAGATATGATAGCTGCGCACTGCAAGAAAAAGTTTGAAATTAGAGCCAAGAACATCCACAAAGAGTTGGATAAATGTACATCTTATCTTTTCACCACTAGCAAAGTTCTTACTGATACTCATAAAGACAAAAATTATGTAGATGTCTGCAACGAGGGACCTAATATTCCTTACATTGATAAGAGCATGAAAAAGTTTAAGGATAGTATCAATAAAGCAGAGAGATATGCGGTATTTTGCGAAAACGATTACCAATTTGTCTTCCACAAAGATGACTTTGCCAAGAGTTTGAAAGAGTTAATTACCAAGAATGTCAATATCAGCCTTACAACTGATAAAAAGGATTCGAAGTTCCAAGATATTGGCAAAATGGAGCCCTCCAGTATTGTCTATGTTGGCGAAGGCTCCAATCTTAATGAGCTATCGCTTATTCATTACAATATGGAGAAGAATTCACGAGTAGAGAAGCAGTTTGAAGCTCCAGCAGATGACAAGAGCTTCCCTGCTAGCGGGTATAGATCAATCTGTGACACTAGTAAAAATCTTGTGTATTTGTATGGAGGAAAAACCAATGGGAATTACACTACTCATAGTACTTATCAACTGAAACAAGTGAATAAAGAGGAAGGAAAGTACATAAATATCGAGAAACTTGACTCTCTCAAATATTCTCGAGCATACCATGGAGCTACAATTGTTAAAATTGATAAAGCCAAGTATCTCCTAGCAGTTGGAGGACAACAGACTCATAAATCTGTACATTTGCCTAGTTTCGCGAGAGATTCAGACTCTGAATCTGTTGCGAGCAGTGTATTTGAGACTGAAGTTCCAAGATATTCCATCAATGAATGAGAAATTTATGATATTAAGAATAACAAGTGGATTGAGTTGCCCCAGCTCAACACTAAAAGATCGAATACGTCAGTCTGACAACTCGAAGGATCTTCAGTCGTTTATTGCTTTGGTGGATGGAACGGAAAATTTTCAATCAATTCTATCGAAAGATGAGATATATCTTACTACCTCTCGGATGACTCTACGATAGAAACCTCAAGTGATAGGGTAGAGGAGCTCAAGGCAGATAACTTCTTAGATGCTCGAAGAAGCCACTCTACTAAAAGTGGATCTAAATCTGGAGGTTCTAAATGGACTCCAATAGTAGTCAGAGAGGCAGGAGTCCTGACTTCTGCTCCAAACTATAGACTGTTTGGCCCCTGAAACTCAATAGGGTGCATTGCTCTTGACGAGAACTGCATCCTGCTCTTTGGAGGTAGAGAAGACATTAGACACGGTGAGATGGATAAATGATACATGTTCTATGGTAACAACAGAGTCAAATCCATAAACCCCAGCGATAACTTGTAAGTTTCTCTTTTATTTTCTTAGATATGAAATGCAAAAATGGAACCAGAAGTTGTCTATGGGCGATTCATTTAGCAATTGAAGTTTTTACAAAAACAAATCAAAAGCCCTGTATGCTTTATCAGACTCTTGTTTTATCCATTACTTGGAATTTGACATGGAACAGTGGGAATTGAAAAAGATTTAATACAAATTTCAATATGACTTATTCCTTTCGGGGTTTTGGGGTTTTGGGGTTTTGGGG